TTTTGGGGTCAGGAGGGATCGGAAGGGATCGATGGAAGGGTCGGGATTTGGGGATCCGAAGGGATCGGGATTTGGGCTCAGGATTTGGGGGCTCAGGATTTCCAGGGTCGGGATTTGGGATTTCGGGGATTGATCGAGGGGGGTCAGAAGGGATCGGAGGGCCGGGATTTGGGGATCGGGTCAGGATTTAGGGATCGGGGACTGATCGAAGGATTGGGATTCGGGGATCGGGTCAGGATTTGGGGATCGGGTCGGGATTCGGGGATCCGGTCGGGATTTGGGGATCGGGTCCGGATTTAGGATTTCGGGACTGATCGAAGGGTCAGGATTTGGGGATCGGGTCCGGATTCGGGGATCAGGTCAGGATTTAGGGATCGGGATTCGGGGATCGGGTCAGGATTCAGGGATCGGGTCAGGATTTAGGGATCGGGGTCAGGATTCAGGGATCGGGTCAGGATTCAGGGATCCTGTCGGGATTTGGGAATCGGGTCCGGATTCAGGGATCGGGTCAGGATTTAGGGATCCGGGTCGGGATTCGGGGATCCGGGTCCGGATTCGGGGATCCTGTCGGGATTTGGGAATCGGGTCAGGATTCAGGGATCGGGTCGGGATTCAGGGATCGGCTCGGGATTCAGGGATCGGGTCAGGATTCAGGGATCCTGTCGGGATTTGGGAATCGGGTCCGGATTCAGGGATCGGGTCCGGATTCAGGGATCGGGTCGGGATTCAGGGATCGGGTCGGGATTCAGGGATCCTGTCGGGACTTTGGATCTCGGGGCTGATCGAAGGGTCAGGATTCAGGGATCGGGTCAGGATTCAGGGATCCAGTCGGGATTTGGGATCTCGGGGCTGCTCCCGCCGCTCCTCACCCGAGAAAGTTTCGATGGCTTTCATGGCCCAGTGCTCGTCGGGGCAATCCACAAAGGCATAGCCGGACTTGACGAGGAAGTGGCCGCTGAAGGAGATGCGGTGCTCGGCGAACACTTTCTCCAGCTCGGCCGCGGTGACGCCCTCGGGCAGGTTCCCGATGTAAAGCTTGTTCATGGTGGCCTCGGGGCTCCCGGGGGGCTCCCGGGGGGCTCGGGGGGCCCGGGGGCTGCGCTGGGCGGCTCCGCTTCGCCCCCCGAGCTCTGCCCCGGCTTTTTTTTTTTTTTTTTTT